TACCAAAGACTTTAAACAAATGGTACTAACAGCTGCCTCGCTTGGCGCTCAGAATTAAGATGTTAGTGTTAGGACTGGTCGGCCCGGTGTCAGGATAATGTGACAGGGTGGGACATCATGCCACATATCTGCGGCATGATGACCCAATATACATCACTATAAAATGTCACACTACAGGCATAGTATTGATATGACTGAAAATCTCTCTCTCTCTCTCTCTCTCTCTCTCTCTCTCTCTCTCTCTCTCTCTCTCTCTCTCTCTCTCTCTCTCTCTCTCTCTCTCATCAGTTGGATGTAAATCACACTTCGCTTATGTTAGTAAGATGGGGTTCTGAATGGCAGAGTGGTCTAATGTGCTCACCGTTACGGATAACTGCCGTCTCGCCTCTGTCTGTGTTGGTTCGAGGCTCAGGCTCAGCTAACGTGGATACGTGCGAAAGCTTGCCAGCAGCTTCTTTGGGTCGGTGGTTCTTTTTTGGGGTTTTCTAGGGTTCTTCTTCCACTAACTACTCAACAACAAATGTTGGTAAGAATGCATGTCATTACAGACTTAAGTGTCATTAGTTTTATATGCTTTAGAGGAATGCGGGGTTTAACATAAACAACTTTAAGTGTCCTCTAAACTATCAAATTGTAATATCCTATAGAATAGGCCGCCATTTTTAATAAGACATAGGGGGCGCTTTACATATATTACATACTTTTGAAAATGACAAGTGTATTTCTTGCAGAAAGCATGCACAATGCACAATTGTCATATCTATATGCTACTTTCATTTGCTATGGATTCAATTTCTTTACATACGGTACTTGTGGAAAGAGCCCTAACTAAGAACATAGTAAACCGAAATGCCTGCTTCAATACGCTCGAAACAAAATCAGCTTGAATTAGTCTAAATTCCATCTTTAGCAGTTATTAAAATGGGAAAAAAATGATTTTGACAGCGTAGGCAATGTCATTTTCTTTAAGTGGAATGAATAGATTACAAAATATATTTAAAAAATCAAATACATACATTCTCTCTCTCTCTCTCTCTCTCTCTCTCTCTCTCTCTCTCTCTCTCTCTCTCTCTCTCTCTCTCTCTCTCTCTCTCTCATTTACCTTTGAAGTGAAAAGAACCAAATTGAGGTAGAAGATTAAAAGGTATCTTTATAGGTGCACATCTGCAGTACGGCCAAGCTATATACTCTAAAACCCGCATTACACCCGTCAAGGGTACACAAAAAGGAAATAAAAATTTATATTGGCAAAATCTAAGATATACAAGGAATTTATTTAATATCCAGGTTGGCCAGTGAGGAACTCCTGGGTTACTCATTTTCTTTTAAAAAAATATCTAACCTATTCAAAATACGAAACAGTACAACGGCACCAAGAATATATGGAATAAGACATGATTGAATATGCGCAGCAAAGAGGCAAGAAAGCTCCCTTTCAAATAGACATTCTTGTTTATTTTGTTTGTTTTTAAGAAGAGATGTAAACCGATTTATAACTGAGACTGAATCATGTTCTACCAGTAAACAACTACAGAATCTCCTTAGAGCCTTGACATATCCAAATGTCAGTCGAGGCTACGAAATGCCAGCTGCATGTACTCGTGTACGATCTTTGTTAACAACCCGTGCATGAGATTTGCAACATCTTAATATTCCATAGAAAAACTTTTGTAAGATATATTTCGGGTAGTACTAATGATTGATGGATTTTTCACCCAGTGGTTTAGGATGATATAATGTTAAGGACAGAAAAAAAGAATGGGCAAACTGAAGACTGAGGGTACCACAAAATCACCCCTACCCCAAAAAGTGGAGATAATACCACCACCACCAAAACAACAACAACAACAACAACAACAACAACAACAATAATAATAATAATAATAATAATAATAATAATAATAATAATAATAATAATAATAATAATAATATGAAGAAGAAGAGGAAGAAGAAGAAGAAGAAGAAGAAGAAGAAGAAGAAGAAGAAGAAGAAGAAGAAGAAGAAGAAGAAGAAGAAAAAATTAAACTTCCTTACATGGATAACTGTTAAAACGATTAACACAGTAAAGCGCGCCAGAGTCTTCGGTATGTATCAGACACACCATAGCCGTTTTATGTAGTTTGGGGGCCCTAGGCACAAACTCTAAACTTAAAAGTTTCCAGAATTGCATCTCAATCTCTCGGTCTCAGATATAGATCATTGATTTGCATTTCCATGTACATGTATGTCATTTTGTTCAATTTATTAATATACATGTAGTATAAACTTCTAACCGAACTGACACCGAAATTTTGTTTTTGGGCCACCGTGTGGCCACCTTCTGCGCACGTGCATCGCGTGCCTATGCTTTAAAACGGCACTGAGACTCACAATCACTTGATGTTATCAATGTATTACTTCCCTCTCACTGACTGCATTCAACTCTCTCTTTCTATCATTATACAAGATATGTATCAAATTATATATATATATATATATATATATATATATATATATATATATATATATATATATATATATATATATATACATACATACATATATATATATATATATATATATATATATATATATATATATATATATATATATATATATATATATATATATATATATATAGGGTGCGGAACAATACAGAGTCGCGTCATATAACATGTGGAGATGTAGCGCTTAGTTACGATAGAAAAAGGCACCCAAGGTATGCAGATTAGTCGGATTCTTAAAACACATGAAGCACATTGGTTGCCGTCGCTTTTTTAGGGAACAATGTCAAATTAGACATTGACATTAGTTTAACATCATTCAGGGTAAAAGAATATTTCTCATTAATATTAATAGTCGTAAAAGATTTAGAGTGAAGAAAGCATAGAAGAAAAAAATTATGTATTTTTTTGTGCCAAGTGTTATCGATATTATGAATGCGACACCCACTGACACTGGTCGGCAGACAAATGTATAAAGGAGTATTGCTTTTTATCAAATCAAGGCCTGAAACTACAGGATTGTTAGATTAGGTCAAAATTTATTTCTTTAGTGAAGGAGGGAAATGACCCTTGGCTTCATCTCCTTCTTGGAACCATTCTAGAAGTTCACTGCCTAACATGATAGTGACTTAGGTTTAAAACTTGACTGTTGAAGGTTTAAACTTTGGTATCAATAAGAACTGAATGCAAAGGATTGGGCAGTACGTTCTGTGATGTGGGTGCAATCCAAACAAGGAAGAAATGAAAAAGAGAATTTATGCATATATACTATATTTCATCCCTAATATGGAACAGAAAATTGACTGCAAGTATGCTCTCTACAGCATTTGCTGTCAAAACTTGAATTTCACATACTTATGCACTACAATTCCAATGTAAGCATGTATATTTTCAATATATAAAAGGAACTTTCAAAGTAATACGTTTTTTAAAATTGCAACAAAAAAAAACGAAGCTGATCGAAATATGCATATGTCCCTATTTTATAAATCAAAAAATAGAACCGACTTGCATCTTATGAATTAGTTGTTGATGGGTTTTTTTATTAGTTTTTTATTGTCTGTTTAAATTAAAAAAGGCTACATCAAGTAAAGTCAATGAAGAAGACTTATTCCAAGTGACAATCCTTAGATCAAACGAGACGAGAAATTATCATTACCTCCTTCTATACCACTGGGATCATAATGTAATCATCAACGATTTACAGCACCGGCACATTGCTATTCGAAGTTCAAAATGAGTTTGTATGTCACTTAAACATGGTTTATCTATAACCTACATTAAGTGTGTGCGTGAGTGCGTGTGTGTGATTATGTGTGTATGTATGTGTGTGTGTGCGTGAGAGAGAGAGAGAGAGAGAGAGAGAGAGAGAGAGAGAGAGAGAGAGAGAGAGAGAGAGAGAGAGAGAGAGAGAGGCTAAAGCGCAAGTACACACGTTGAATGAAGGTATTTTTTTTAGTAAACGTTGATCACTGATGTGGTGTATATCTCCACAGGTTAGTGACGCCACCTTATAAAATTGTGGCATCTGACGTATTATGTACCACCTGTGTAAGACATTAGATTAACTCATTAAGAAGAGTTCTGTTCAGTTTTGTTTACTTTTGTTCTGTTCCATTCCATGTTTTAAAAAGAAATGTTACTCGTGGGTAGAACGCTATTGAAATGTCAAGAGCAGATTCATGTAGCGAAATATTTGGCGAATTAATAGGCCTATAGGTCGTATACGTTCTCTGACACGGGAAATCCGCAATTACTTTCTCTGACAGTAACTAAGGCTATTTTGCGTATACATGTATTGCAAGAAATAAAAGCAGTATTTACAACAACGTATGATCTACGCCAGCTAGTACCAAATCAGAATATGTATTCATCATTTTGTTCCAAAGCTTGTTCTAGACACGAGTCGTAACCTCGTCGTGTAAAAGATATTACGGAGAGGGGGAGATAAGGTCCTCGCGTGTGTGCGTGAGTGTTGTTGTTATTTGCATTTAGAAAGGAGATGAAAGATCACACATTTCTTCAAAATAATAACTGAATCAAGGATAAATTCGTCACTCAGTTGATTGAGAGAGAGAGAGAGTGACAGACAGACAAACAGACAGACATAGATAGAGTGGGGGAGAGAAAGAGAGGGGAGAGAGTATGTATAGGCCACTGAGCAGTACATAAAATTATCACATCCTTAGCCTTATAATTTCTTCTGCAAACTTCCTCCTCTTGTAAACATCACTAAAATGATGATAAGACAATACCGTATTCCATTTCGAAGCAAGTTAAGGTCGGGAAAAGCAATTAGCTTATCGTAACTGCTTTTGTATTAGGCACACAAATAAGACTGCACTTTCACGGAAAAATGAGCAACAAATTGTAGTCGAAGATGGGGTCTTAAAAATTATCTAAGCATCCCAGCAACTGAAAAGCTCAACAAAGAAAGCATGATTCACTTGTCCCAGTATGTACTTGCTATAAAACGGGTTTTTTTTGTCAATTCTCCAATAAAGGACATACAAATTT